TATACTTAGTGTAAAGACACTGGGGAGAGTATTATAAATAGAAGGTGGAAAAACAACCCTGTTTTTGTTATGGCCGAAGACACCACTGAGGGAAGGACTCAAAAGCAACACTCAAGAGACAGGACAGCTCCAAAGAAACACACTCTTTACTAGCAGAGGTTCGGTACACAGGCAAGAAGTCAATTCAGGCAAACAAACCCAAAACAGGGGCGAGTCAAAAACCAGGTAACAAAGATCACAAGGAGAAAAATGCTGGACCGGTAGATACCGAGAAGATGAACTGGCACCGAGAAAAGGGAGCACAAAGACTAAATACACTAGGGAGGAGGAGGGGTAATTGGGAAGAGGTGAAGCTGATCAGGGCGGGGAAAGGTAATCACACAGGCGGGAAACACACAAGGGCAGGAAGTGAAGGTATCTGAAACAAGAGGGTGAGGTGAATGACAAAAAAAACAGCAAACCCAAAAATGACATGACGTGAAAACAAGGAAAACATAACTCTTGAGACCTTGACGAGGTGTTACAGTTTTACAGCGTTTGCACTCTCCCATGAGCATTTAGTTGTAGTATTATAAATAGGAGGGGAACAAGATACTCTCTTTTACACTCTCCCATGAGCATTTTATATTGTCGCAAAACTTTTACATTTTCTCAAGAAGCCAGGGTTCTCCTGGGAAATATTTTTCCTGTTTTCTTAATCCTGTACTTAATGCTTACACTATCACTTTCTTTGAAAATCAGGTCATCAAACCCAGCTATACTTAATGTTAACATTTGTGAGAATAAAATGGACACTGTGCAATGCTTTAACTTTCAACCAACATATAATAATCAAGTTGCACCAGCTTTTAATCTCAAATTAGAAAAGTTGTTTCTCCAATATGCTTTTATCTCCTCACAAATTGTTAAGCTGCATCCATTTCTAAGCAGAAATACTGAAATGTCTCAACAACTGTCAGATGGCTTGCCATGACATTTTGTACATGGTATTCATGGTTCCCAGATGTTGTATCGTAATGACTGGGGATCCACTAACTTGTCCTGTAATGAGCAGAGCAGGTCCCAGTTACTGGGACATAGGCTTTTAGCTCAAAGGACAGCTGTGCAGAAGTACAGCACAGCTTTTAGACTCCATCATTGCTGGACCAGTGACTGCTTATGGATGGATGTAAGAAAATATTCAGCCACCATATTCACTCTCTCAAGCCCCCTTCAATTCACAACATGTTTTATTTGTTATTCCGTAGACACCCAGTAACAATATTAAACTATCTCTGGTTCACCAGGTGCTAATATGATGAAAATGATAATCTACTATAGTGCTGAATGCAGCGAATTGATGCCAGCTGTGTGTCATCAGCTGTGTGATCTGAAAACAGTCCTTTAATGTGATCTCTCTTCTCAACATAAATGTAAAGATATTTTCCTTCAAGCTGATGGTCATGTGCTATATTTAATGCTACATCAGCCCACAGCAATCCCTTTATGCTTCGGTGGAAGGATTTTAACCACTAAAGGGTTATATAAAGGCCATCTGCTGGTCTCATTAGTGCCGGCTTTCCTGGGTTTCTGCCTCAAGAGAATTAAGGTATTGATATTTTGATTCTCCCGGGTTGAGATGAAAACTCCAAGCCTTGTTTAACATGACGTTTCTGCAGCATACAAATCTCGTATCTGCATGAGTCACAACCGCACAGCGGCTCAGCATTAAGCGTCTCCTCTGCAAGTCAGAAAATAATGCAAACACACACACACACACACACATTAGCGTATATATTGACGAGGTTGGCCAGAGATATGGTTCTTTGGTTCTGCAGTTTATAAGGAGCAATGATCATGGCTAACAGATTAGAAAGGGGTGGCTAACCATTTTGTAGAATAAGATAATAAGAGGGCAGATTAATAATAATAATTACAGAAGCTTGGCCGATGGAGAAAAGAACAATACAGCTTTCCCAAAGATGATGATGAGCTATGATGAAAAACACAAAATATTTGTTTTTATCCTTGATCTTGAGTCAGCAACAGTTCCTGCTCTGAGACTTCTCCATGAAATGCCTTGTAAGTCAAAAGTAATATTTTTAAGTGCCATGAAGAGAAACCATTGTAATGTGTAAACTGTGTCTTGTTTTTGTCAAAAGCCTTGCTGTAAAGTTCACGACTGTTAGGATAGATCATTCAAGCATTATAGGAGTGATATAATAGATTAATGAGACCAGAACAAAGAATCTGTGTTTTTCACATTTAAGCTGCATCCAATTTTGAGGAAATCTTCCTTTCATTACACGAAGGCAATTTCTGGCTTCATTGACTCATTATGGTTCCATCAGCCAAGAGACACAGTATAGCTGTCTATCATCAGCCCAACAACAATACAATAAGAGCTAGTCCAGGAGCTGTACGGATACGGTTTTCTCAGGGGATTTTGGATAGAAACAAGAATAGAGAGAGATCTATAGTTGTGGAGACTGATAATTTAGCTAATTAGTCTCATATGTACAATACAGGTGCAATGGTTTTACAGTTGTTTGGTACAAAGCTACTAACAGGAGAGCTCTCCAGGTGCACAAGGTAGCGTCAATGACTCTTTTCAGAACAGATGACTGTACATTTTCAAATGATCTATAGGAGGGTTTGTTATTTGAAATATATATACCTAAAAGGTCTGTAAAATTAGCTCTTCACAACAGGAAGCTCTGTTTTCTGAATGTTGGATACAAAATGGCATAATTTTAGATTGAATGCCAGTGATTTTGTTAATGAAGAATAAAACATGACTCAATTTATGACAAAGATTGTGTGATATAAGGAAGTCTGGAAAAGAGTTTATTTGTTTGAAATTAGCTCAGAGAAATAAGCATGTCAAACATCCTTAATTTGATGGTTGTACAAAGCCAGGAGCTATTTCAGAAATAGCAGATGCACCTCAAGTCTGTTACTCTTCGATCAACACATGGCCTGAATTTGTGTTTCAAACTATAGGTGTCTTCATGGAGAATGATTGACAACTGCAACAGAGCATTTTTCAATGACTCATTGAAGTATCAAGGGTAAGAAACAATGCTTATTAAATCTGTTTACCGGGTCAACCTGCTGTACAGATGTTGTTGTGGATTACTGTTTGCCAAATCAGAATATTTCTGAGTAGATTCACTGTAAGTGAGAGCAAATGACAATTATCAGAGGCATTAGTAGTACTAGTAATACATAGGGATGTATTCAATTTACAAATCAAACACTGTGGGTGATCACAGAAGGCACAAGAGAACCAAAGAAAGATCGGGATGATATTTGCGAGGGCGAGGGCTTTAGAGAGGAGAGGACGGTGGGGGATGGAGGTGGCGAAGACCTCAGGAGTCTTGGCTAGCTGTCCCTTGGCAGCTCACGGCACAAACGGAAGCAAGGGTCTCTGTTTACACAAAAGGCGTACGTGGTGGAATAGTGAAATACACAAGATAGAGAGGGATGGGGAATGAAACTGAAATAGAGAAAATTAGCAGTATGAGAGGGATGAACCCAACAATGTAGTATTCGGCATTGTTGGTGTTTGTTTTTGTCCTGTTCTGGTGGAATAACTGTGACAGGCAGCTCTACAGTAAAAATGTTGCACAATTGAAATACTCACGACTAATTTGTTAATTTCATCAATCATTTCATTAATTTTCTTCAATCACATTGGACTTAAACTGAACCATGTCAAGTGTTTACATAAATCAGCCATTGCTCTGCTATCTTCGGCTGAACAGAAGTGCGCTGCAGTGATTGAAGGAGATCATTTGGGTCAGAGTGGCTCAGAAACAGCTGAGGTTCCAGTTTGCAGTTGCTTTCATCGCCAGCGGGGGGCGAACAGCAGCCATGCACAACATCAGTATCTGCACCATTCCCCTCCGCTCTCCTCCAACCCCCACCTGCACGCGCTTGCACACACATCTCTCTCTCTCCCCCCCCCCTCTCTTTCTCTCTCTCTCGATGTGTTTTCGCTAGAAGGCCAGACAATTAGTGGCGGTTGGAGGAATGCATGACACACATCTCAGCTGAGAGAGGGGAGCAGGACTGACAGAGGCAGGCATACTCATGCACGGGGGGGGGGGGGCAGCTGAGAGATAGAGAAGGAGAGGAGGGATGGGTTTTTATTTGAGTGCTTAATCAACACCAAGGCAGGGGGAGGCCGGGAAATGATGTGGACTATCATGTGACACTCTACCTGCAATATTTTCACGTCACTGTGTCCGTCTTAATTTGTCACTGTCAACGTGAAACGAAAGCCTCAATTAGCGATGAGTTACATAAGGTCAATTTTATGAAATTACCTTTTTTTACCTAGTTTTTCCCTTTTTTTAATACCTGTGAAATGTAGCCACGTGCATTATACGCCGCTGATGGTGTTTTAATACACCAGAGTAGGCATAGATGACTAATCTGCAACGGGGATGAGCAATCATGTATGACGACATTTCCAGTGAGAGACGCAATTAGATGATGTGTGAGTGTATGAGGCTCTGCTGTGTATGATGTAGCCTACTGATGACAATGGTCTTCGGTGGAGACTGGAGTGTGGCTCGGATCATAAAGTGTGTGCGCGTGTGTTCGACAGAAAGAGATAAAAGTGCGCTCCGCAGGCATGCCCATAAACCCATGCACGCAAGTACAAAAGCAGCGACATGCGTGCACGAGCCCTGACGAAAAATTGAAGCCATATCCCATGTAGATTAACATTGTTATTCCAGATGTGTCTGTGGTGTTTAAAGTGTATTCACCCGTTACATCACACTAATGTTTCCATCGGAATGTGTAGTTTTTGCAGTGGTGTGAACACACATCTAGCCAAAATAAATGACACACTTCACCCCCCCCTTCCCTCCATTTCTATTTGCTTCCCTCACACTTAAGCTGGTGTGTGTTTGTGTGTGTGGGAGAGAGAGAGAGAGAGAGAGAGAGAGAGAGAGAGAGAGAGACTGTGGACTTGATTCTTTCAGCTGAGGGAGAAGGGGAGGGGGGCAGGGAGGGAGAGACAGGGAGAGAGAGAGAGAGATAGTTTTGTACAGAGGAGGGACACACATTCTCCAGCCGGGCAGCAGAGCCTCAGTCTAGGCAGCCAAGTGCAGCATTGTCTGCCTCTTCACCCGCGCCACCGCCACCACCACTACCCGTCATCCCGTTTTGGACTAGACACCCCTTGCTGTGACACTGTCTACGAGCAAGGGTGTGTGTCTGCGTGTGTGTCAATCGTGGCGAAAATAAGACCCCAGCAGCTTGCGTCATTTGAAAGCAACATCTTCGGTACCCAGTAAAGCGTACAGGGGAGTACAGCAGCGGAGCGAGAGCGGGGGGTACAGAAGGTGGCATGGAGGAGGTGTGTGTGTCTGCGCGGAGGCAGGGCTCAGGGATGTGGTGTCTGACGGACGCGGAGAGAAGCTGTGAGCTCTGGTATTAGCAGGCATCTGCGCACCGAGCCGCTCTCTTCCCTCCCTCCCCTCGCGCCGACAATTCGCCTAAAAACCGGGGAATCGGCTCCACACGGCTCGCCGTGCTCACTACCGCTGGCGTCCCGCACGGGGGATTTGACACGAACAGGTATGTGCAGCAGCAGAGCCCATTTGGGCGCTGGATGCGTGTTTGCATGGCGGGGGGGTATCTTGACTGTTTGACTTCAACCTATATCTTCTTGTTGCTTCCCTCCCTCTGTGGCCCTGTCAGTGGAATAGTGAAACGATATTTGAGGATGATGCGTTTAGATAGCATCATCTGTCGATAGAGCTGGGTTGAACATACATAAAAAAAATAGGTTTTAATGTTATTCAATCGTTTTTCAGTTTATTCTCAAATGTCCCATTGCTCCAATTCTAACCTTATCCCACGTTGTTATGCATAACGCACAACATGAATGCATGTGAGCAATGCTGCTGTTTCACACTGTGCAAATGCGATGGGACTGGTTCTCGTCACGCCAGCCAAAGAAAAGGTAATATTTTGATTTATGAGGCGAGACATCTGTTGTGATGTTGGCTGGTTTCCTAGGGCTGCAGGCAGTTATTTCACTGTTGGGAAATACACAGGTTAGGAGGAGAGAGACAGAGTGTAGCTGAGGATGGGCGTGAGGACAATATGATCTGCACACACCCTCACATGCTCATCCCCCACTAGTATGCTTCGCTCTTCTCTCGAAGCAGCAAATGCATGCTTAAAAAGCAATAATGCACGGAGGCATGCATGGTGCACATGTGTGTGCATGCAAGGCTGCACACCCAGACCCACCGCAGGCATGCACACACCCACATGTACACCAATCCACACTCGGCCATAATTCATTATCATGTGTTCTGGAGACATGACGTAACACATGAGCATCTATCACTTGCATCTTTTTTTCAAAAGGTTTGCAATGAGATACTCCTCAGTCTCATCCAGTATGATAAGAGAATGAACATCACATCACAGCATGTAGTATAATTGCTTCGAGCATAATAACCTCAAATTGGCATACTTGGGTTTTCATCAGGAGAGAAGAGCCGATTGTACTATTGTGAGAAATAGGTTAGCATGCCTCCAACTGACACTTATTTTCATTAAAGTAGAGTGGCAGAGACTGTGCGACTGTCAGAAATTGAGTGCTTCAGAGTGCTCTGGTAATCAAATGTATTCGGAAAAAGCGGGGGAAATAGGTCCTTGGACATTAAAGCAGGGCCTGGGGCAGCAGTGCCTCAGAGCATGGGGGGTGGGTGTGGCTGAGGTGCTCCCCCTTTCTCTGGAGGTTTCTTTAGTCTGACTCACAAATGGGAGGGGCTCTACCTCAGGACCACAGGAGTTCCCGATTTAATTTTGTCACAGTCACAGGCAACTATTTTTTGGATTAAAGTATCCAAGCAAGTTGATTAAGGAGCATTATTTTACATAGACTGTTGGAGGTTCAGTGCTTTGTTAAAGGCACATAGCCCTTGAATTGTAAAGGATGAAACTATCAGTTTATGAGGATAGAAAAACCTATATATTCACATCAAATTCACAGGCCTATGAAACATATAACATGCTAGAACACATATGATGTAATAAACTCAATATCTATCTATTATAGGGACTGTGTTCCACAGAGGGATTTACATGGTGGGCGTTATGGTGTGCAGGGTGTGTGTGTGTTAGAACATGCTACTTACATAAATTAAATGTTTATGACTTATCCTATTATAAAAAAAAAACAAGCGTGACTGTCCACTTATCTCTACTTATGTGCAACATAGAATGGGCTTTATCGTACTGAATCTGCTTATATTACGAAGTAAGGATGAACAACAGCGGCATACTGTAGACCTATTAGCCAACATATAATCTCATTCTCACATGTCATGATGGCTCGGAAAAATGGTACCATTTAATTTGTAGCCCATTTGCTGCAGAGTCTTGAGCGTTTGCAGGTTCTGTGGTCAAATTGATAACACACATGAGTGGGATAAGGTGATCTAGTTATCTGTCATCCTTTCATCCTAATTCTTGCATCATTACGCCCTAATGGGATGATACAGACGATACCTTGTGGGTATTATCAAGTCATTTGCGTATTAACTCTAGCTCCGGAAGAGGAAGACTGCTTAATTTGTCAAACCTTAACATGCAGATGTCAGGATGCTGGCTCTGTAAAGAGAAAGGCAGCGCCCTAATTGGTAATCAACACTCATTAAACACTAGTACACTTTTATTGTAATATGTCCTGACAGTGTAGCTACGGCCCTTTATATAAGTGATGTTCCAGTCACCGCTACTGTAAACAGCGACATATCCCAGATGCTGTCAGACATGATTGTGACTGTAGCTCAAATGAGTACATTGAAAACATTGTAAAATTTGCATCACAAACTCATTAACATAATTACTCAAAATTAACCATCAGTCATTATTAGGTGTATTTTGTGTGGAGCGTTATACGATAATGTTCCATAATGGTTGAGTCATTTAACAAGATGCATTAAAAAAACAAAACATTTATGTTTTCATTAACTATGCTTTCTAAACATGAGCTATCAATGTTACATATTGCATTGTATGGACTGAAAGGGTAGAACATGTTATGCACATGTTATTCCTTGAAGCAAAATCATTTTTTTTGTGATAATGACAAGAACCATGAATAGTAAAGAGAACGCGGAGTTTAGATTATGGACTATGAACTCTACACAACTTACCATTCTGAGCAATAGACCCAAAGATAATCGCTATAAACCTTTCCTTTTAAAAAAAAAGAAAACACACCAAAACCATCAGCTTAACCCAAAGCCAAAGTTTCACCGCATTCTGCTTCAGCTCAAAGTTTTATGCTGTATTCTTCTCAATATTGGGTTAATATTTTTGCTATGTTAAAATGGTTTTATTTATTTTCCAAACCACTGTACACGCCCACACAGTCATGAGAAGAGGTCTAATCGGTCAACAATATGTGGAAACACTTTTGTGGGTGTGTAAAAGCTTTAAATATTCAACTGAATTGCAACCGTTATCACTAGTTTAGGAATTGTTTTTTTCATTTGGATACCATACCATTGACAAAACAATCAATGTAACAATGAAATGGCCTATTTACTTATCTTGGTGGAGTAAGTGAATAAGCCATCATTTTCCTACTCAACTACAGGTGCCCTTAAGCAAGGCACTTAACCCTCAGCCGCTCACTGATTAACACAAGTTGACTGTATTTGTACTGTCTCAGTATTTTACATGCAGATAGAGATTTGAATTAGAGCTAAAGATGTCAGTGGAAGTAGTTGAGGCAATGTCAGGACATATTTAAACAATATCTAATGTGATTTATTTATGATGGGGACAGTTTTAGGTCGTGACCCATCAGTTGCAAAAGCCTGCTCTTGGCTTTACGCCACTCTACAAGAGAGCTGAGTCATGAACTTCCTCATACCATGAAATATACTGTCGTCCTTCTTTACCTCATTTTGTTGCCATTCGATTTCTGTAATGACAAAGGTTGATGCTGCTTTTTTCTTATTTATACAACTCGAGACCATACTGACCATTGAATATACCAGGACCGTTCAGGGATAAAACCTTCTAGGAGTCATTCATTTACAATTGAATAACCGCTTACTTTAGGTTAAAGAACCTTAATAACGTCACTTAGTGAACTCACCCATTAGGTTTGGTACAATTGCACAAGACCTGTCAGAATTACATACTGTGAAGTTGACAAATAGTCAAGGCCCTTGATTAATTTCATCCTCAATTAATCTGACAGAAACACATATATACTGGCAACCTAGCCTTAAGCTCTATTTGCTAACGCCTGGTCCTTCCCTAGAGTCCAGCATTAAAAGGTAACTGTGATTCTGTTTCACAGCTCATTTGAAGTGATCATGTATCTGTGGTCATGAGACTGTAGACACATTCGGCTCTATACCCCTGAACTAATGTGGAGCAGCTGTCAGATTCTCTACACAACAAACATCCCTCTTTCGACTCAGTTGGCCAGTTCCACTCTATATAAACCACACACTTCTCAGAGCAACTGCAAGCTGTTATGCTATGCAGCATGATTCAAGAAGTCTCACTTCTCATTGAGACTAAGATGGCCATTTTGTCCTCTTCGTACCTATATAGTCTGATGCACATTTACATTACGACACCTGAATGGTTCAGCACCTGAACCATTACAATTTAACTAATTGGGACATTAAAATGTACGACACCAATAGGTCATTAACTCTATCATTTCAATTAGTGAAAACATCCTTATCGTTATGTCAATATAAGGAAAATAGCTAACAAACGCATTTTTTTACATGATTTGATTATGTGTTAAATGAAAACAAGAAACAAAAATGTATGAATAGCAATGTGTCCAGGTTCTTTGATCATGCTAGATATTAATTTATGATGAAAACATTCTGACTAGCGTAATGTAGCACTGAAGCAATTAGAAGTATTGACTCTCCTGCTGTAGAAGCTGGATACCACCGTGTAGCCTGCGTCTATTGACCTTGACTGACACATACAGTGTATACATTCATGAATTTGCACACATGCAATTGATTACCCCACCAACCCCTTCTCCCAACCACATGCAAGCTCATACACCCAATGTCTTCATTCTCTCTCTTTGCTTCTCTCTCTGTCAGCACCTCTGGAATACAGTTTAAGTGATATCTAATTAAGGAGGGTGACTAGGATGCTTTGTGAGATTGGCTTTAAAGACATGCACCCAACATACATTTTTGAAAACTGAAAAAAATGTTTGAATGTTCTGCAGCTTAACCATTGTTTTCCTTGTATAATAGGTTTGGAGATTGCTTAATGAGTAACTTTTTACATTATGCATGTTAAAGATAATTACTTTCTCTGTAATTGCAAAGTAATAACTCAGGTTATTCCTGCTTGTGTTTAAGTGTGAACTGAGAATCTGCAGCCAAATTGTAAATATCTGTTGCTTTTTTTGTCTTTCAGAGAGATGTTCTTTTTCGGGAGGAAGGCCACTGGATTTAAAAGTATTAGTGAGTCTCTACTCGGACTGTGGTGTTAGTGATTTTGACCTGGGATCCGACTGTCAAGCACTGGCTCATTGTGCTTGGCCCCCTACCGCTGTATTCTCAGCCGACTTCTCCTTTCACTAGATGATAAAAACTGTCCATAGGATTGCCATCCATGGTTTCTGCCCTAATATATACTACATCATCCTACATTAAAAAGATTTGTAAAGGAATGTTTACAAAGAAATTGGCAAACTCAATAAAGAAGAAAGAGAGAAGCGAAAATAAAGAGCCCAAATTGACCACTGATTTGCAAGCACACAATCCAAATCTCTCAACCACATTGAAGACTACAGTTAAAAAGATTTCCAAATGCTCTTCGGCACGTAACATATCGCTTGAAGAAGACGACGGAAAGTACGACTGCTCATCCCTGTCACCCACTTTCAGTTATCGTGTAGCTATAGCGAATGGACTGCCGAAAAACTCTCTTTCTTTGAATAATAATGAAAGTATCATTTCTGAGATTCTTTCAATTGATACTACTTACTCTGACTCTTTGAGTGAGACAAAACTTGTCAGGAGATTGGATGAGCATAAATCACACACTATGCCAGTAAGACGAAACAGAAAGAGCCTCATCAGTTTGGCTCCCTCTGATGGCAGCTCTGAGGGCGAGCGAGTGGAACGCTCCAGTCTACACACACTTAGGCTGGGTGCTCTACGCAAGTTAAGAAAATGGAAAAAGAGTCAGGAATGTGTCTCCTCAGACTCCGAGGTGAGCAATTGGAGGAAAACCTTGGGCATTCGGAGCAAGTCCTTGGACCGCGCTGGACGGCAGCAAAAGAGCTCAACCCTGGAGCCTGGCTCCTCCTCCACAGGTTGCATCAGTCAGACCCAGGATGTCATGGAGATGATCTTTAAGGAGCTTCAGGGGATCAGCCAGATAGAGACAGAACTGTCTGAGCTACGTGGCCATGTAAATGCCCTGAAAAGCTCCATTGATGAGATCTCCAGCAGTGTGGAAGTAGTTCAGAGTGAGATTGAGCAGCTTCGCACGGGATTTGTCCAGTCTAGAAGGGAAACACGAGATATTCATGACTACATAAAACAAATTAGCCACCAGGCCAACAATTCAACCTTGAGGTTCCTTAATGTTCCTGAAGAAAGGTCAGAAAAAACAGAGAGTCTAATTTATAAGATACTAAAAGACAAAATGGGTTTCATTGATGCCCTTAAAACAATTAAAATTGAGCTTGCTCATAGGTTAGGGCAACAAAGAGAATGTTCTAATGCAAAACCCCGCCCTATTATTGTTATTTTTGCAACAACTCAAGAGAGGGATATAGTCTTGAAAAAGTGCTATAAACTTAAAGGAACAGGCATTACAGTCTCCACTGATAGCTTAACTCATGATGGAAAGGAGAGAAAAGACAAAACAATGTCTTCCTCACAAACTTATGAAAGCATGGATATGAAGGCCTCAGGAAAGGATAAAGTGGTGGAGAGCGATGATTGGGACTCAATGGACAGTGATAAAGAATTAGATGAATTAAGCCGAAATAAATATGCAATGGTGATTTCAAAGCCCGCTCACAAGAGCAAATCAGAGAAGAGGCGATCCCATGACCATAGCCGGTCAGGAGAGGAAGCAGGCTACTCAGGCGCTGTTCACTATGCTGATGACTCTTACTATGACCCAGACAAGCAAGTAAAGGCCTACTATTCGGATTTGACCCCTGGTTGGCTTTCTCAGAGTGACTATTCCACCCCTAAACTCAGCCGCTCTGAGTCTGACTGCTCAAAACTTTGCCAGTCATACTCAGAAGACTTTTCAGAGAGTCAGTACTTTACACGGGCTAATGGCTGCTCCATGCTGTCCTCCTCAGATCAGGAACTGTGGCAGAGAAAACAAGAAGACATGGCTTCCTCCTGGTATGCTAGCGACAGTCACCAACTCAGCCATGAGAATCAAGCATATGAACACAATGAGGTTGAGACTACGGAAACTATTGACAGTGGGGTGAGCAATGGACTGGTCTGCATATCTGGGGACAGAAGCCACTACAGTGGCTCCCAGCTTTCTCTGCAAGGTGACTTATCACCCTGGAAAGACTGGCATCATCTAGAGCAGGGTGCTGATTCTGGCTTGGAAGCCTCAATAGAGGTTAGCAGTCCCTTTGACCCATCAACCATCCCTGGTTTTCCAGAAAACATCACTAAATGTCAGGAGGTTGATTTACAATTTGAGGGAGATGAAGAATTCATGATGCTTGACAGAGAATCTTCCCTACCACCTATAACCACCCACATTATTACTCCCATCGCAGAGCGTGAGTCTGTCATCAAGTCATCTGCCCGGCAGTCCAAGGAGGGAAATAAGATGGTCACAAAAGAAAACACAAAAACATCATCTAAAGATACACCTAAAGCTGCTGCTAAAATTACACATAAACAGACAAAATTGATACCTAAAGAAGAAGCAAACATCAAAATATTGCCAAAAGAAAGCTCGAAGGTATCTGCTAAGGTTTCATCCCAAGTGACCTCTAAAGCAGCTCCTAAAGAGTCACCTAAGGAGATTCAGAAAACAGCAGCTAAAGAATCCTTTCAATCCCTTCCTAAAGACAGCCCTAAAGTCACACCTAAAGATGCCACAAAGCCCAGTGTTAAAAAAGTATCTAAAGTGACATCTAAGATAACTTCCAGTGAAGCTGCTAAAGTGACATCTAAGATAACTTCTAGTGAAGCTGCTAAAGTGACATATAAGATAACTTCTAGTGAAGCTGCTAAAGTGACATCTAAGATAACTTCTAGTGAAGCTGCTAAAGTGACACCTAAAGTGACCCCAAAAGATAGCCCTACAATGACTCCTAAAGAAAGTCCTAAAGAGTCACATAACGAGAGCCCTAAAATAACCCCAATTGAGAGCCCTGTGTCAACCCCTAAAGAGTCCCCTAAAGAGTCCCCTAAAGAATCCCCTAAAGAATCCCCTAAAGAGTCTCCCAAAGTCATTGCTAAAGATCCCCCACAAATTGCATCTAACGAAGGTCTAAAAGTTGTTGCTAAAGAGGTTATCAAAGAAGCTGTAAAACTACCCCCAAAAGAGGTATTGAAAGAGATGCCGAAGGTAGCATCTAAGGAGACTGGTAAAGTACCCACTCAAGAAGTTTCTAAGATTCCACCTAAAGAAGTCCCGAAGGTAGCCCCTAAAGAGAGTCCTAAGGTGTCCCCCAAAGAGACCCCTAAAGCCATCCCAATTGAAGCTCCTAAAGTTGGAAATAAAGTAGCTTCTAAAGATGCCCCAAAGGAAACCCCCAAAGTCATTGCTAAAGATAAATTCCCTGAACTGGATGTCAATCATAGCTTCCACCAGAACCAGAATAAGTCTACAACTATGTACCGCAGTCAGAGTGAGATTCGAACAGAGAAGGTTGAGGAGGTTCCCAAGTCTTGGAGCAGTAGGCTCAGCATAGATCTCACTGAGAAGTCCTTTGGTTTTGGCTTTGGCTCTACACTGCAAAGGGCTAAGTCAGCTTTGGAGGTTGTTTGGAAGTCTGGCCCTCAAACTCCTACCACTGCTCCTCCTGAGGAGACCACCAATTCATCATTTATGGGGCGTTTCCGCACGCTGTCCACCTCTGGTGTAAATAGCTCTAGTACTACAATAGACTCCGATGCCAACACAGAGTCTGTCTTCAACAAGGCAGAGGAAGATAAAGCAGGTGCAGAGGCAGAAGCTGGGGAACAACCAGTGGACAATGAGACCCACTATGTTGAAGTGATGGAGCAGGTATTAGCTAACTTAGAGAACAGAACTAATGCTAGTGAGACAGAGGAGACAGATGAGGCTGCACAGGACTGTGAGACTTCTCAGGACTATGATGTGTCTGATGACTTTGAGGCCTCTCAAGACAGTGATGCCTTTCAGGATTTTGAGACCTTTCAAGATTTGGAAGCGACAGGAGACCATGAGACAAGTAAAGAGGCGTGTGTTCTGGAATATGATTGCAATTTGGATGAAGAGTACAATGAAGAATATGAAACCCAACTCACTGAGGACACTGCTGAATTTGACGCAATGGTGGAGTATGTAGACGTAGAAGAACCAGATGACAATGATGTGACAGAGGAGATGGAAGAGGGTGATGAGGAGTTAGAGGAGGTAGAGGAGATCATAGAGGATGCCGCTGAGGGATCTGAAAAAGTAAAGCAAAAGCAGGAGGATGAAAACAAAAATGTTCCAGAGGAGAAGCCTACAGAGGCCCCACCCAAGAAACATGTGAGACCCACATTCAAGGAGGCAGCACTGAGGGCCTACAGGAAGCAGATGGCTGAACTGGAGCAGCAGATCCTGGCAGGAGGTATGACTCTTTACTCATTTTTGTTTGACTTTTTTTGTACTGTTTGACATACTTTACATTGGCAATACATGGGTACAACCATAATGGTAACTGTAAGTAGTAGTCAAAACCAAGCACCTTGGGCTTAAAAAACTTCATCAGAGGATTTGAGTTACAGCACATTAACTACAAATTGTGAATACATAACAGTACTTTAAAAATAGCTTTGACTGTTTTGAAAACTCTTGGTTTTGTTAGTGCACTGTTTGTGCATTCAAGTTTCCTCTCTGAGACTTGTCAGAAAAGACAAACGACTAGCAAACATGGACATAAGGGAAAGGGCAACTTGTATTTACAATGCTGTGTATTTCACTAAGCAGATACAGCAATTAACTCTTATGTCTCAGATGTTGGAACATAATTGACATCATTTTGTGTTTCTCTGAATTGAATTCATACCACACTGAAATAAAATGACCAAAGGCTGCTTATGAGGAGGAAAATTAAATCCTTAAACTTATAGTACGATTTGGAAATTGGTGGGAAGTCATGTAGAGTACACAATTTTTGAGCTAAAACATGAGCTAAAACATACAAATGCATTGGTATCCTTGCAAATCCTTAACATCCAGTGGGTCGTCTGGGTTGTTAGTGGAAGTGGAATCATAGTGAATAACTTTTATTGATGACGTGGAGACAAGCCGTAGATTTGGATTTATGGGAACCTCAGACTTTGATCAATCTGAAGGATGTCTCTTTGAATTGTTAATTTATTTTAGTTGAAAAACTGAAGAGGAGAGTCTCTCTGGATGGCAGGATTACAGGTGGCATTGACTTTGTATTTGTATTCCCATGGCACAACACTACATTCTCTCATAGCAGATTGTGGCTAGTGATAAGTGATGAGACTGTCAAACGTGTTTTCTGGAGGTTTATCATTTATCATCAAGAAAATATTTTAAAATCTACACTAGGGTGGGCTCCAGAACTACCATCAATTATTCACAATGAATAAAAACATGACAATTTCGCTATTGGGTGTCATTACGTTGGCACTGGCAGACAGTTAAAGCAAGTGTGAAGTCTTTACATATTGACTTACCACAGAGAACGTTCTGTTTGTCACTGATGTTTTTTGCACTATGGTGTTTTAAATAGGATATATTTTATTCTCTACACTTAGTAGAATATTATGCCTTATGCTCTCATTAGTCTTTTTGTATAATTCTTTTGGCTCTCTGCAGTAGTAGCTTTGAATCAAAATGCGGTAAAGCTGATGGCTTATGTAAAAAGGATGCAATTTAAAATCAACGTCGGTATATAAATGGTTAAGGTTTACACATTGAAAGAAAAGGAGTCTTTCAATAGGAATGAAAAAAAGAGACCAGGGAATTTCCACTCTTACTTAAAATGAAAAAGCTCTTGACCTACATATGTAGCTGCAGCTGTGGTACCCATGGTGAGGTAGGTACTGTTGTTCAGGGAATACAGGCTACACCTGAAGACTGTGTGACAGATGTGTGCATAAACCCTTTTAGTGGCCACATTCACCAAACATCCTGCACAGAATGTTGTTTACTGAAAATCTTGTTTTAGGAGAGATTCCTTCGCTGTCATATAGTTGTATGCGACCATTCCTACCTAACGTTTTAAGACCAACAAACTGCAACTCATAAGAGGTATAGTACACAGTACAATATGCATTACAATCAAAAGTATTACCATATGGTTATACATACCATGACTCTCATTGAAATGATTCAATTCAATTCACTTTATTCCAAAGTCTGTAAACCCATCCATGTCAACATGGTCAGAATATAGGCAGAAGGGCTGCACCAATTATTTGAACTGATATTATTTAAATTATTTCTCAATTGATACATTTTTGAGGCCAATACCAGTATTGATGTTTGCTAGTCAAACAAAGTATTTTTTTAACCTCAACATAAACAATCATGATAATTAAAGAACTGTGATCACTACACACGCTACTCGGTGGAGCATTTTACTGTTGAAAAACAAACTTGTCAGTGCTCTCTGGTGGATCGTTTATGTAATGGCGACATAAATCGAAATCACCTCAAACATGTGTTTGGCATTTCTTTACTGCAAATCTTGCTATTTATTGACTGATTGTCCATTTTCTATTCTTATACGTTGCTTTTGCTGGACTACCAGACGAGAAGGAGTCGATCCGATAGTCTGTCTCATTAAGTGATTGACTCACTTCTCACTGTTGACTCGTGCATGTGTGAGGTGAGGCATGTTGTAGACTCCGGGCATATGACTCCAAATTAAAATGTGTGACCAATTGTCCTTACTGTCCGATGGCTATTGGGTCTTTTCTTTATCTCTCTATTAGTTTGTTGTCTATAGCATTCTATAGTCACTCTTTATTGCTGTTTAGTGTTTACCGGTTCTATGAACAAACTGTATACGTTAATCTGGTGTGTAGTCAGATCTTTGGGTTCACATGTATAAAACAAAGTTGCCTTGCTTGATTCTTATCCTACACATGAAATGACCTGCCTGTTTTGATTATTTTTCAAGGCTTATACCTACGTTGATGATAAAGGTCATTGTAATTATTAGAGTTAGCCATTTCTGGGCATTTTTATTCACGTTATTTAGGTAATATCGAAGCTTAAAATCCTGCAAATAACTAACAATATGTCTGAAAATGTTTTAGACTTGAGGTGCTTTATAGTTAGTCAATAAGTGGTTTATGCTCTAAATAAAATATTGGAAAGTTTGTTTAAAAAATGGGTACACCAAAGTCCAGCTATATTTTATGTTTGACACATAATTTAGCCTATGCTACCTGACATAGAAGCAAGTTAAGCAATCCTTGACTGTAGACATGCATACTACACACTCCCCCCTGATTAGCTTCATGCCTTCATCTCGTGTCGCTGATGTGTGCACATGCTCATGCTCTGATGCATGCTGGCTGGTCTGTATAGGAACTGTGAAGGGAGTCTCAGCTGTACTGCCACTTTTGCCAGGCCTGTCTTTAACCGGCTACTGCAGCGTCTGTATTCAGATGCTAATTCACACTCCCAAGGGCATTTTGTAACCAGGTCAGCCTTGCTTGGAATATTTATAGAGGTCTGCATGCAAGTGAAGTTTGCTGCTTGCTCCTGGGGGAGTAAAGGAGGTAGACCCTCTCTTTATGCTTAGTGCACCATTTCTAGAGAAAGTGTGGATATGAAAAATGTTTGTTGTCTGTTGTAGGTTGATACCATCCAATTCATAGCACTGACTGATTCAAAACCGCTGTTTTTTTGACTGCTGTAAACGGAGAGAGCCTCCTCTCCATAGTTTACTCTCTCAACTTGGAGGAACTGTCTATAGATTGCAATACATTACCTCTCGCTTTCATTGCTTTCATAATAACTCAGAACTTGGATTAAGTCAATAGGTTTGCCTTTGCGTGTACAAATTAGATCTCAGTTTCCAAAGCAAAAGTGCATCTTTGATTAGATAAGGGTCGATAACCCGTTTTACCCAAACGCTTTATTCCTGGTTCATGCCTACAAGGATTCTATTTCTTCGCTGAAATTGAACAAAATAAACTCTCTGACATCAGACTGCCACAAACATGGTTTGGATATGTCATATTGTCAGGTGGACAGGAAGTGCAAAAAAAATTGAGGCCACCACATTTTTATTACATCAAAACCTGGAGGGCTACAACCTCTCAATACACACATTTCCCCTTTGTCCCTCTCTTTTTATCACAAATCCTGTAACACAGTGATTATTAATGACACAGCTTTAAGGTCTAATATGTGGTTAAATGAAATATCTTTGTATTACCTTCATCTGTATATTTCCTTGCATACCAACTTGAAGAACCTTTACGTTGTAAAACACAAAGTATCCTGGTTTTGCTGTCATGTCGCCAAAGCAGGTATCAAGCTGAACAAATGGTCCTAACAACCGCTATATGATAAAAGAGGTGCAAGCAATACACGATTGTGTAATTATAAAGACAACAAATACAAGTATGCGATGAATGTTATGAAAATCGAGCATAAATAAATGATAAATAAATAAACAAATGAATAAATATAGGAATAATAAATTGTTTCCTGGAGCTCAGGGAAGTCACAAGCTCATCACATTAATCAATATTTTGAACCGTAATACGTATTACTATTCAACAATGTTCGTGTTGAATCACATTCAAAATAAATAATTGTTGCTGTCTTTTCTGAGAGTTGGGTCGGGGTTCTTGCGGAGAGACATTTTTAATCTTGTTTGTGCTCAACGTTAGTCTGGGTGCGTTTGTGGCGGCCGATGAGCGATTCGAAGGCCCCCTTGGTTGAGCTGGGCTGACTAATGAAGTACTGTAACGTTAATACTGTTGAGTAAAAAACGTTTTTCACGGTAACGTTATGTATCTTGAAAAAAGAAAAGAACATATGTTCATCCCGTTAATGATGGCTCTGTTACAAGGTAAAATGATCAAGCTAAAATATTATTAATAACACGTGTGCTCTTTCTGCACACGTGTTATTCCACAATGAATAACTACAGAGTTATTTATTTAGTTTGGTGGGATAAAGTTGCACCAGCCCAGACGTACATTTTGTCAAGTTAAGCATCTAAAACTGTTCTCGGTGAGGGAAAGATTGTCCTAAAAGAAGCCAATGCTGACGGTTATAGACACAAACCTTTGTCTCTCGGTAGAACAAGTGTTTAATGCCACTGTTGCAGCAGTATGAAAGTCACACTTATTCTTATCGTGACACTAAATGGAAATATGAGCCATTTTAAGAAGTAATTAACCCAGCCAGTGCAAAAATGATATATATATATTTTTTTTTTTTCTGCTTTGAATGTTGTTTGCAACTTTACACTAAATCCTGCACTGCACTTGGTAGCATTCGGTAATGCCATTTGTTATGTTACATCATTCGTCATTTAAACTTTACCTTGTTAACTTTTACCTGGATGTTTTTTTATTTATTTATTATTTTTAGATTTGTTGATAGTTTAACATTATTGCTTGCATGATTGAAACAGTTTATCATTATCATTAATTATTCTTTTAAAAAGGTCGGCATTTTACCTTTAACTTCACATATTAAGTTACGGGACTTGGTTTCCTCCGGTGAGATTTTAAACTCGGTGTAAGAGTTGACACCAGCATGCAGTTCTGCTCTGGTGAGCTTTTTTACTTATTATTTATTTCAGGATGTGTTCACTGTAAGGCCTACAGCCTGTACTCGGTGCTGGGATCTTGCTGGCAGTCTGATCCAATGAGCCCGACCACAAACTGGTGGTCATGTCAGCCTTGACCTCATGGTTCCTCTCAACTCTCCTGCTCCAGTGATTCCACTTATACACAAACCTTCTCCTCTCTGCTGGTCCGTAGCGTACACTTTGTGCCAAGCTATATATTTTATTTCAGTTTATTGTAATAGTTGAAGCCAATACTTTAATAGCAATATCTGATGTGGGCAGTATGGAATAAAAACGCTGTCCAACTCTTCTCCAACACACAGTACAAAGGTGATGCGATGCTGATGAAGGCAAGATCATTGTATATTGGGGAAAAGTTGTGAGATTTGTTTAATTTTGATTGACTTGTACTGAAAGTCTGAACTGCACCTCAGTTTACTGTATGTGTGTACTCGAAGTAAAAAAAATGGAAATATGAATATGGCCATAAGATGTTATCTCAGTAATAGTGTCAAATCTATTTTATACTCACTACCATTATCTTTATTTTCTCTGTTTTCATGAGCTCCTTGGAAATATCGTCATGCGCTCACACGCTCAGTGCTGGACTTTGATCATGACATAGTTCTGTTAATGTGCTGAATGCAGCAAAACATCCTTAAAAACCAGTCTGTGGAAATCAGTCATCACAAATTTGAGGTTTCTTGATTTAACATACATTTTTCTATTGTCATAAAGGACAATCTTCTCCCGCTGTGTGTGTGTGTATATATATATATATATATATATATATACATAAACACACACCATTATGTGTATGTTAGTGTATCTCTAATGTGTGCCTGAATATGTCCACACAAGAAGACATGTTCCTGTGTGTGTTGGTGCAGGGGCAGGTGGTTGTTTTACTATCAGCCATGTGCAGGCTTTTCTGCTCTGGCAAACTCTGATCTATGAACGCGGTAACCACGTGTGTCGGCACTGAAATGCAGGATTTACTGCTGCTTTTGATACCTCAACACTTTGCCCACAGCACACACACACACACATACATACAGAGGGTTTCCTACCAGTCAATTACATTTTTGTTGCACAGATTTAAGGCACCTGTGAAATGAGGTTCATATCAGCAGCCTATAGCCTATCTTTGTGGTCTGGCTTTATCTATAGTGCAGCTGCAGACTTGCGGGTGCAGGAGATGGCTCTATCTCGTATGCCGTGCTGAAAGTAGCTTACCTGATCGCTGTCCATGGTCCCTACTTGCAGCTTAGCTCCTCTGTGTGTGCTGTGTGTCTGCGTTCGTGCAGCTTTTGATTTCACCTCGCCCAGTAATATTATTGTCACAGTTGTACCAACATTTTTCAACCTTTTCAAGAATTTATACTACCTCAGCCTAAAATATTAGTTTGTATAAATTCAAAACTCTAATGTTAACTTGAATCCTTTTTAAATGTTTTCAAACTATCAGTGCCTCCTTGAGTACCATTGTCACAAACAGATATGCGCTTGTACAGAGATATGCACTGGAACACTAATGGTACTATAGAGCACTCTGGGTAAAAGCATCCATCACATACTCTGTATTGTTTTTTTATTGGTTAACAATTAATATCTTCATGATGTGATTTTTTTTAATAAGTGTCAACTTTCAACTGAACGGATCAAACTAAATCGAAAAGATACTGGCAAAATTAAAGAAAGAGATGTACATTGCCTTTTGCTGTATTAGTGATGCAGAAACTGCGCATCAACAACAAACTGCGTATCACGTTGTTTTCAGAGCAGCAATTTGATCTTTCTCTTGTGAACAGCTGTTTTCTGTTCGTAGCACATTAGATCATGATTATGCTGCCATTTATCACCCATGGATCAATAGCACAGTAATTACACCTCTGCAGTCTTGCTTATTTAAAAGGCTTGCCCTCTCGCAGTTCGTCTCTAAAATAGCAATGTGATTCCAACCGCTTATGCTTACCTAATGTCCCATGTCTCCATAGCTGGGATTGTTAACTCATGTGAAGCTATTGATCAAAGGCATACTTTTTAGTAATTTATGCTGTATTGATTTAGAATATTCTATATCCAAAGAATTATATTCATATTTCAACCTTTAGCTGAGACGCCTTCTGTTCAGCTTTTTTCTACTGCTTTTACTAAACATGGTATTCTTCTATTCATACACATTTTCCTTCAGGCACATGTTGACTCTGTCTCCATTTCTGCATAACTTGTTCGGCAAAACAGAATTGTGTCATCAGGCGGCCAGTAATAGTAGATTACTGTGTTCTAACTAAGTGTGTGTATTCTCCAGTGAGCTGCTCTATCCTAACACTCCACCCTACTCTCACTTTCTCCTTTCAGACACCAGTGCTTTGGACACACAGGTTTTAAGTCATTGTTTATCATCAACCACGTGGACACTTGTGATTCCCTAGCATGTGCATGTGTTTGTGTATATGTTCGTACATTTCTCTTTTGTGTTTTGTGGCATATGGTGTGATGGTACGTGGATTTTGCATCTCATTTTATTTGAAAATACTCCATCTACCTGAGTGTATCTGTCAGAGGGTGTTTGTTTGTCTGTAGATACGTTGAAGTGATATCTGTAGGTATGCAGCACGGGCCCTTGAGCCATGTTGTTGTCACTCTGTGCCGGTTATCCTTTTATTCCCTTTCAGAAAATGATTTGTGTTTTAAACTGGACATTTTTGTCAGTGAATGGGGAGCGTTACACAATAGGCAAATCTGGCCTGAAGCACCAAGAGCGGCAAAACTCTCAGTCTTGAGCCCACAAATTACATTGATGTGGAACAATTTGGTCTTCCTTTGCCTGCGGTGTCTTCCCTCCCTTCTCCCTGTTCTGTACTCCTCTCCTATCATTTATCTTGTCCTGAATTGACCTCCAAATGTACTGTAGATTCCCAAGTACATTTTATCGTACAGTACATTTCTTTTGTTTTAATTTTGCTGCTGTTTGCTTTGTTTCTGTGTGCACTTACCTTGTATTTCTTGTTTTACATTGTGTGTTTCTTCTCTCTGCAGCCTCACAGTATTTTGGACCCCAAACTGCTCGGCTTGCAGTCTGGAGGGTGAGTGGTGGCTCACTTCCTGATCTGATCGGTTCACGAGTACATACATCTTAGCTGCTGTGCTGTTTTGTACCCCCATACTGAGGCCCATATAGCGGAAATGTTGCAGACATGCTGATTCTCTGGCATTCAACCCTAATTAAGGTGGTATGCTCCCTGTTTTGTGATGTACCACAGAGAGGAGATTAATATACAAGATGCCTGATGCCTTCACAACATCTGTTAAGGAATTGATGCTCTTGGCTTCACATGTCTGATTGATTTCTTATTCAGACATGTGTGTGAATGATTAAGGTTGAGAGTCTATGTGAAAGATAGATGAAGCCAACTGTTGTCGTATTATGTCATAAGGGAAAATAGCTAATAATCATAATTCACCTCCATTACCTCAGCTCATGCCATGAATTTACAGCCATCTGTAGCATACATTGTTTACATAGTAAAGAGGCAGCGAGAGCCAGGGACCCTAGGGTGAGGCAAGGGCCGGGGCAGGTCGTCAGACTGTGTATCTTTAGGGTCATACCACTGATGTCGCTGAGAGGGCTGACAGAAAAGCTTGAGGAGCTTTGTCTTTGTGGATGCATTGGGGCCTTGATGTCATGCTGAGGTCATTAGAGAGGCTTTGAGTGACAGTTGAGGTGATGCACAGAGAGCCTCATGGGACAGGAAGCAAGACGGGTGGGAAAGCAGTGAGGGAGCCGCGGAGTGTGCACGAGAGAGTTGGAGGATGGAGAGAGCAAGGTAACTGGTAAGTGCTATCTGAGAAAAAAACTCATCTTGGAATTTCCATTTTTGAGGTGTGGAGAAACTTTAACAAGTTTTCAGTATTCTTAAAATGTAGTATACATATGTATCATAACAGGCATCACTGCAGCAATACCCAATACGCATTTAGATAACGTGGAGGAGGGAGTCCAGCAGAGAACAGCAGAGGGTGAGAGGGATTACATGGCGCTCCGGTGTTGGTGGTCGGCACCAGCGAATCAAGCGGAAGGTGGGGGAGACAGGTTATGTAGGAGGCATGATCCATGGCATTTTGCCGGCTGTGTAAATCAAGACCCCCC